TCAGGCTTCTAACAGGTACAAAGGTCACGTGTTACCTGCATTTCTCAGCACTATTATTTTTTTGACTTGATGTCAGTGGAAAAGCTGAACATGAAGATGGAAAATATCAATTGAGGGAAGGCATTGTGGGGAACTGTAGGTGTTAACTACAAAAGTAACAATGCCCGCTCCCCCCAAAAAACCAGAAAAACAAACTAAAATCTGATGACAAATGTGCTGTAAATTTATCACGCTCAGCTTTTTGATATCAGATAGAAAGGGATGTGTTTTCTGCAGGAAGTGTTGTTCTAATCTGGGCACTAAAAATGAACACCCTAATTCTATTCTAAATTTACCATGGTATTACCTTGAGACTTTAAGCAAATGAGCTAATTTTAAGAGCCTTAGCTTCCACATTTATAAATTGGGTTTAATACACTTCTCACAAGAATACTAAGATTGTGTAATTTTAATTAATGTATGTAAAGCCTTGAAACTTTTAGTTGGAAAGTATTATGTGCACACAAACTATTACTACTCTTAGAATTAGGAACAGTCAGGTGCTCTGCATCATTTTAACCTACAGACCCAAGAATACTAAAAAAATTGAAGTCAAAGTAAACCAAAATGTTGCTTGTGCTACATAGATATATAAGCTGTTCCTTATATAGTGGGCCATCATATTGAAGTGACAGGTCTGTAGTCCAAAACCCGCCTATTCATGAGAGCAACAGGGTAAATCATTGAATATAGGATGAATTTTTGGTCCAACTAGAGGAGTCATTCCATCAGTGTTTAAATAGCTGAGGTGCATTTGGGAGAAGTTCTGTTTGTAACTAGGATGAGGGCTCTGTCAGTAACTTAATTTTTGCTTCAGCAGCATAAAGATCAAGCCTGCCAAAATGAAATATTGAAAAAATTGTTTGAAATTGAATTCAATATGTTTGAACCAAAAAGTAATGTTTTAGGGTTAAATTAAACATTTCATTTGACCTGTGTGGAAATTTTCATTTTATTTCAGAGGGTTTTTTTCAACCTTTTTTATATCAAAAAACAGATATAACTGAAATTTAACAAACAAAAAGCTTTTGGCTTTTTTTCCCCCTCAATTTCTTTTGGCCATACCTGTTCACTGAATTTAACTTACTTTCACAAGGAGATTTTTGTCAACCTGAAACTGCATTTATCAGCTAGTAAACCATTCTCCAAAAGTATTTGTACAGCCCAGTCCTGACACAAAAGCAGAGTTTTTACAAAAGATGCTAGAAACACATTGATGGAGGAAGTGAATAGATTTACTACTAGTCAATCACAGCAAGCACCACACAAAAGGGTATCACTTGGGTCCTAGACTGCACAAGCATGCTGAATGATTTCTGTCACTCCCACCCACTGAAGGGCATTCCCTCACAGGCTCAGGTGCATTAGTGGGCAGCAAGGGAAAGCCCACTCTTAGCATACTTCTGCTCTTTTTTCCCCTTTCATCTGTTCAGACAGATGGGTTTTTCAGCTGTATCTAAATTACTAGACTTACTAATTTACAATACTGACTGCTATGCAAGACAGGGATTCCTTCACATCTTGCCTTCCTCTTGTATTCTTTGTCAGCATCATTTCACATGACCTGGAAAGAGCCCACACTTTTAATTTATTCACTATTTAAAAGTGGTGAAATAAAGAGCCTCATTAAAAGGAGGTGATACTAGATGAGAGTGATGTAAAATCTTGCCACCAGCTACTGTCTTGGCCCCTTCACCTGCCTCAGTCCCATTTGTTTGTGAGATCAGGTTGTTTTCCAGTGGCAATGGATACACTATTGCAAGATTAAGCTATCTTTTGGGTATATGTTGATATGGTGAAGGGGATGTTATTAAGCAGATGTCTTTCTATATGAGGAAGCTGTGCTGGACTGTCACTCATAAAGACAGTGGAAGCTCAGCTACAATGAGAAAGTTGCACAGAATCTTCCCTAAAGTCAATAATACAGCTGCCAATGACTTTGATAGATCTCAAATGTGGTCCTGATAATATTAGGTCTCATTGTTGAGTTTAGGTAAAATAATAGAAAAGGATAGACATTTCATAGACATTAGGGGCTGAAAGGGACCCCGTGAGATCATCGAGTCCGGTCCCCCCCCCAGCCGCCATAGACAGCAAGTCAGCTGGGATCAAGTGACCCCAGCAAGAAATGCGTCCACATGTTTTTTGAAAGAGTCCAAAGTAGGTGCTTGTACCACCTCCGGGGGGAGTTTGTTCCAGACTGTGGCTGTGAGTCAGGAGAGTTGAGCTCCCAGATGGAAGGGCCTTGGTGGGTGACTTTGAAAAAATCACTTACCCTCTAGGGCAGCAGTTCCCAAACTGTGAGTCGCAACCCCATATGGGGTCACAACAACAGCAGGTGGGTCGCAGGGGTTGGGGACAGTGGGCTAGGAATGAGGGGCTATGCTAAGAACATGGGGTCATGCTGAGGAAAAGTTTGCTGTAGAGGTCAATAACATTTTCAAAGGCATTTAAGTGACTTAGGAGCTCACTCCTGTTTTTAAAAATGACTGTACTTGGGCTCTCAGGAACCTGTTCCCACTGAAAGTCAGTGTCCCCCAAAAATCAAAGGACAACTCAGTGCCTAAATCATTTTTGAAAATGGAACTTAGATTCCTAGGTAGTTTAGGTTATTTTCAAAATTTTCCCATAGTCAGTTTTTACTGCATTTAGAGCTTTCACTTGGAACTGTGTCTACACTTGCCTTGATATGACAAACTCCATGATATGACTTGCTTTTTCCCTGAAAATTAAGAGTCCTAGTCCTGGCTTTTGTCACTGCTTTTCTTTCCCCACGTCAGAAATGCCACTTACGTTACTTAACCTACCTCACAGAAACTTTGTGAGAATTCATCCTGAAGCTACATTGTGGGCGCATCTACTCATTCATTATTGTGCAGTAGGTACTGCACATTTAGTTTAGTACTTCCTTAATTAAGTACTAACTAAATGCACAGTAACTAGTAACTGCACAGTAGTGTGGGCAGACAGGTTTTTTTTGTGATGGTCGCTGCACAGAAGCCTAATAACACAGCTCAGTAGCTTATTAGGACAGTTTTTGACCGGCACACTATTGCACAGTGCTATCAGGCTGCCGCATAGTAAGCATCTCATGCAGATGTGCCCTGTATGTATAAAAATTAAGGTGCAGTTTGAATAGTGGCTTAGCATTATTCAGCACAGAAGAAACCTACAGGGAAAGTACACAAAGGTGAAACTTGATCTCTAGCCCTCAGGGGATTGTTTTCATTACCACATTTACATGGGGATGCTGCCACGTATTTTGTAGTGTACCTAATGCTGCTTTATGAGGTTTATCTTGACAGAAATGTCAGGAAGAAGTCTTCCCACAACAAAAGAGCACACTATTTGCATTCAAGGTTGAGGTTCGGTTCAGAAAACTGTCTTGACTTGAGAACCTGTAAACACTGTTGCATTATTATTCTACAAGGGGATGTGCAGACTAATTTCTTCTCACCAGTACTGGAGTTGCCATCTGAATCTGTTTCCATTGTTTTCTAATATAAAATATAAATTCCATGGTACTATCAAGAGAAAGAAGTATTTTGTCTTTACGTGTCATTTTCGTTCTGCTCTTAGTTTTCTGAAATAAATAGGTAATCACAAATACAACTGATGTTCCATTGCTATTGTAGGACATCTGTGTAAGTCAGCATCAAACAAACCACTGATCAGCTTCTGTGGCCCTAATCCTGACTGATTCCTGCATTGTTGTTACAAAATGTGCAATAGGTCTGAAGAAAAAACATGTTCGACAACTAATTGCTTCAGGAAGTTGATTTTAGACATGCTGGGCTCTTTCCAACAAACACATGGAGTTATCTGGACGGTAGTGAACAGCAGCCCACGAGCAAAGGAAAACTCCTGGTAGTTCCATGACGTGGGCTTGTGTTTCCCCTCCCAGTAAAGTTAGGAAAACTCAGAAGCAGTGACAGCCTTACTGATGGCATTCAGTCTATCTGGATGTAAATCAGGTGGTGGCAGTGGCTGCAGGGAGGTGGAGTGGAAATAAAAGGGATGTTGTGCAGTTCACTGTAGATGGCCTTTGCCAGGTTCAGTCATTTCCTGTCCATCTGCCAAAAATCACAAGCTGATAAATGGACATAATTTGAGTGTGGGAAACTATATGGCCTAATGAGCTACAGGGGAGGAAAGAATAAAAGAAGAGTCATAAGTAAAGAAAACAATACTTTATCAGTGGAGATGCAGTCTGACTGGCTGATGCTTAGATAATGGGCCTTGTTTATTCTTTTCTGCAACTTCTGGCCTAAAACTTAACTTGATCCTCCCCACCCCTCTGTCTTCATTGATAGGAGCAGAGGCCACACGTTCATGAGTGTTGATCAACATGAAAGGAAAGTGTATTTATTCATTTACCCATAGCAAGTACTGGACAAACACACCCGTTTCCTTTCATTTTTTTAATCATCCCACAGTGGAAAATTAGCATGTGTAGTCTTATTCTGCAGAGGCATCACAGCTTCAAGTGCTCAGCTCTGTAACTGGCAGGTTTGTGCCATGGCATTGTTGTGTCAAGAATACTAACATATAATCCTTCTGGCTATTTTTGTGGAATAGATCATTTATTCTAAAACTTTCGGTCATTCATTACTTTGAGCATCAGAGCCAGTTCCAGAGCAGATGAATGTTTTATTTGTAACTCGTTCAAAGTGCTAAATTTGTTTGACGCAATAAAAGACCCAAGATGCTGCTGTTCTTGTGATGTCTGGTTTCATACAGTGTTTAGCATGTTAATAACTTATGTTAATCCTGCTCTCTTGCACTTTGGTCAGCCTGTTTCAGCTATCTAATAATGAGTGTTATGCTTAATGTTGAAAATTATAGCAGAACTGTAAAGGAACTGATACAGATTTCTTTTAATCTATTTGACATAAGAAACAGTAATCATACCCAAGTTTAATTTTAATAATTCTTTTTTTTCTTGTGTTCTTTCTTTGCAGTAAATGAAATTATAAGGAATGACCTTTCCAGCACCAATGTCCATTCATAGCTTGCAATATTGGACTAGTTTGCAATCCACACACTTTTAGGTCAGCTGATATATCAGCTACAGCACAGTTACTAAATAAACTGAAGATATTACCTGGTACCACTCTGATCTTCCACCTTACTGAATGTTAGGAACTGAAGATTTACCTCTTGCTTACAAAGATGTAGCTCTTCGACCTCAACTGATGAAATATCTTCTTTAAAGAAAATCATCTCAAGAGGAAAAAAAAGGGAGGGAATAAACTGTTAAGATGGCGCATTTTTCTGGGATAAAACTAGGAAACCCAGAACTGATCCTTTTGGCACCACTGGAATACAACCCTGGAAGTGCCTTATTTTACCAGATTGTGGCATCAGGGCATTTTTTAATAGGCTTTGAGTTTGCTACCATAAAAGGTATTGGTAGGTGCATAACCTATAAAGCTTGCAATTCTGGAAATGGATGTTTTAAAAATCAAAGGACTGCCTATTGAAGGAGAAAGACACCCCTACTGAGAGTAAAATACCTTTGTGAATTCCAGAATTTCTTCAGCTTTTTCTCTGCTGTAATATACAGCCTGTTGCCTTATTCTCAGTGCATTTCAAGAGCCTCCCAATTTGTCATCTCAGCTCTTTCTTTTTTCATACTGTCTATATTATGTGCTAATGAATCATAGGATTGTTAGTAGTAGCATGTTAAGATTTTTATTTTAATCAGGCTTCAGTCATAGCACAAGTAAGTTGAGTAGCACAAAGTAATAAGGTTGATGGACAAAAAATGAAATCTATCTATTACATGATAGATGTATGTGTATGCATGTACATACATACTAGTATATATGCATATATTTATATATGACAAATAATATAGATGATTGCCTGCTGAGGGCACTGAATTTAGCAATAATTTCCATTACTGAGAATGCATTTCAGATCCAAGACAAATGTTTCAGCTACTTCAGTTGAGGGTCTGTTGCACCTATGACAGGTATGCATTGTCTTTCCTCATGCAGTTAAGCAAGCACTTTAGATAGTCAAAAAGGATGCATACAAAATACATATTATTTACCAAATGGAAAAATATGAACTAATGTAATTGTAAATACTAGTACGAAAGAGTTTAAAATATTTGTTCAGTTATAAGTTTATTATTCCGCAGAAGCCTTATAACTCTCTGCTACATGTACAAAAAAAATATTACCAAAAAAACAAAAGTTTCATATGCAGCGCTGTATAGTATGTTTTCTGATTAGCTAACGTTCACAGAGCACAGATAGGCATGTAGTGTAGCCTTTAACATTGTATTTTGTAAAATCAACAGCTTATTATATAACTAGCAACATCCTATTATTTCATATAACCCCCCCCCCCAAAAAGCATGGTTTAATTTAAAACTGTTTAACATTAATATTGTGCCTTAGGAATCAATGCCCCCTTCTGGAAATATGCCTAAACTACACCTCCATACTGAGGTGGCAACTATTTAGCCTCAAGGTAATGAGAATTGAACATGTTTCACAGGAAGTGAAAAACTCCTAAACATATTAAAATATTCTGTACAATTATGTCTTACTTTCTTTTCTTACACAAAATAAAAGCCATATTTGTCACATTTGCACATTACTGTGAAGACATCAGAATATAATATGGCGCTATGTACATATTATGCTGTTATTGGTCCTAATAGTAATCTGTTATTCCTCACCTGTTTAATCCAAGTTATTCACCCTGTATTAGAATTGTAGAAGTTGCATGAAAAAATTCATATAGACTGCCATATAAAAAATAAAAAGTTTGACAGATGTCAGCTTAATGTGTAGCTAGAAATTAGATCCAATAAAGCAAAATGTTTTGCTGGAAGCTAGTCTTAGAGTGGTTCATTTTATGTTATCTTGACAAATCTTCCTCTCTCATATAAAATAAGCATTTTCTCATTACATACATACATACATACATACACACGTTTATATGTATGTATCTCACAAGTGCTTCTATTTGAAGCTGTTTCCATCCTGTTTCATCCTGCTAATATAATCATCTTAATATGGAAGTAAACATTTCTTCTCAACAGAATCACTCCTCTTTTCCTTCCCCCCCCCCTCCCTTCACATTTAAAAAACATTGCTGCCAAGGAGTGAAACTGATATATGCTATAATCTCTGCTTGTGTTCTGTCTACTTCAGAAATGTCAAGAAAGCATGAGTGGAGGAGCCTCTGGATATGCCAAAGCATTTTTTATTCATTTAGAGAAATATCCTGGGTGAGGCTTTGACCACACACATATACACACACAGCACAGTGTTTGCATTTCAGCAATAATTTGAGCAAAATAATCAACTGTATATTTTAGATATGTTGCACCAACTCTGTCAGTTTTCTTTAAGCTATTTTAAAAACAAAATTTGTTACTTTTAAGCCTGACTAATGGAAGATTATGCATATCTTGTATATGTATTCATAAAATAAAAAAGGAAAGCATAATTTGTCCCCTTATGAGAATGTTACCTTGTTTTTGTTTGTGTGTCTCGGCTGTTGATTTCACTTTTAACTTTTTGTTTCACTAATTCTTATGGAAAAAATGGGTCTGAACACAGCAATTATTTTCCTGGGAAACAACTGTGACTATGTACAATATACACTTTGTATGTATGTTTAAAAAGTCAACAAAGCCAATTTTCTTTTTCCCCACTGGTGATTTGCACTCTTTAAAGAGCAAAACAATTAGTACAGTATTATCTTAGTGATACAATAGTTATATCTTTATTGCATTAAATGAGCAGTATTCTTCTCTGTTACACCCATGAAAATTTTTTGAAGGCCAGGGACTTTTGAGAGAAGGATTGGGACCCACTGGGTTGCAGACTGTTGCTAATATGTGAAGAGATACTGCCCATGGATTTAGTGGAATGAGTTAACCTTGCCAGGAGCAAGGATATATAGGCTCTGTATTATGGTATCTAATATCTAATTAATGGGGAGGCAGGTTCCTGGAAAAAACTAAGCAGTTGTGAACTCAAACAAGCTTCATCCAAATGCTCTAGGTTGTCTCAGCAGGTGCTGCATTTGCATGTAATAGTATGTAATAATGAACCAAATGTAAACTCTGAAGATACTGATATAAGTCCCTTTGGATGCATCTACACGTGCTATTAGTCTGCAGAAATAAACTCTGGCACAATTTGCACCAGAGTTAGTTGCTCCCCTTTACATGTGTGCCTGGGACTGCAGCTTATTGAGCCAGGGCAGAGCAGCTTCAGGTTGGCAGGGGGCCCGGGTGTCAGCCCTGGGCTGCAGGTAGTGGCATTGAGTGGTGAAAGGGCTGACTGGGGCACAAAGGTGCTACAGTGCAGGGCTATCCAGCAGGCAGGCCCCCATAATTTAGCACCCTCTGCCCTGGCCAATTCTTGTCACAGTCTACATGTGCATTTGATTGCACGTAAGCACTCTACCATAAGATAGTACTGTCGCCATCCATACTATCTTATGGCAGAGTTAATTAATCTACTGAGCCCTAATACAAGTGCACACATAGACTGTGATGCTTTACTGCAGAGCTAATAGTCTACTCCACGGTAAAATTCACATGGAAATGCACCCTTTGGCTGCATCCACACAAGTATGGACATTTGTTTCCCTGGGGACAAGAAACAGTGGCACACCTTGCCACGCTGGGCTGGTCCAGCAGCCTTACCTGGGGTCCTGGGGGCCTCCTGGTGCTCCAGCAGCAACAATCCTGCCTCTCAGAGCCTGGCCAAAAGCCAGAGCATGGCTCCAGTTGGCCAGGCTTCAGTTTTGAGCGGCACGTGCTGCCTCCGCATGCACCACTCCACTTTTTTTTTAATGCGGTGCTACCTTGCAGTGCTGCTACCTTGCAGCACAGAGAACAGCTGAGTGTGCAGTATGTGGCACCACAGACATGTTTGCAGCACCACATACTGCACAGCCACACTCGTCTGGATGCAGGCTTTGAGTTTATTTTACAGCAGAGATTAATTATGAAAGATACACAATGCACCATACCTTGCACCTTGATTCAGAAAAGGCTTGAAGCATGTGAAAAGGAATAGATTTAAGCACAAGCTGAAGAACTTCCTGAATCAGAACCTGTCCTTGGTTTACGTTTGTCTTCATATCAGAAAAGAATGATACCTATCTTATGGGATAGTCAGCCTTCTCCTCTTCCTCTTGAAGCCAGTGTCAAAACCCAGTAGACAGGATAGGACTAACTGCTATTAAATCTCAGCTGCTGACATGAACTGCTTCTGTGACACTGGGCAAATCTCTGTTTGTTCCCCCATCTGTACAATTGAAATTATGCTTTACTCCATGGGATGACTGCTTGTAAGACTCTTCCAAGATGGAAAGCACAAAATACTCTATTAAAAATCCCTGCTGCCTGTTTGCAATTGTGGCACCGGTTCATACACAGCGCAAACGTCTGGTCACAGAGTGACTACATCTGAGTGACATGTTCTGATCACAACACTCTCTGGCTTTGCATAAACTCTCTTTTCTTTTCTTTTCTTTTCTTTTCCACAAATCCCCAAGTCATAATCCAGACCCAGCCATGTCGGCATTGGCCACACCTTGACCATAACTCTAGAGGCAAAAAATACAGTCTAACACATTCTTAGCTGACTACATTCATTCATAACCAAAGTGTAAGGTGAATCCCACACAGCCATCTGGTACTGTTTGACTAAATATACTTGCTGGAATTGCTCCTTCCAGATTTTCCTCCACACAGTTGAAAATGGCAAATTTCAAGTAGTTAAATTTCTTGGATAACTCTTAACTGCCACGAAGCTAAACTTTCCTCTACCAAGTGTGTAATTCTGTTGCATTCATCTTTGTAATATTACTGAATTTGTCTCTGTTAAAGCAAAACAACTATCCTTCCAGAAAAGCATTGTGGAGGCAAGATAATTTGAGGACAGCAGCACAAGCTTCTTTCTGTTCCTGTCATGTTTTAAATTCATGTAAAGATCACTGACAGGATTGCTAGTCAAAAAAATGATAGTTCCAGTTTTTCTAACACACATATGTCCAACAACCAGGTCAATCCCCTGTCATTTTTTTCACTTGCCTGCGTTATGTTTTTCTTTGTTGCTGTCCAAGGATTTTTCTTTAAGTTCTTTGAGCCTGCTTGGAGAAAAGGTTTTGATTCTCCCCTTTTCAGGTGGCCAAATCATTTGTTCAGAGCAGATCAGTACCAGATTCTCATGCTGTTGGATTTAATTATCAGCCATTCTTGACTCCAAAACCAACTTTACTTTTAGCCAATGAAAATGTGTTTTTGGGTTGTGCAAACTTGATATTTTACAGCTAAAAAGGGCTGATTTCAGATCTAAGCCAACTGCTAATAGTGGCATGGTATGATATGCCATGTGCATCTCAGCTTTTGGTCATTACACCAGAGCTGCTTATCAGAGCTCTCATTTAGCCTCCTTGAATTATAGGCAAACAGTTATTTTATCGTTCAAATGTCCTGTAAATTCAACTTTGGGCACATTAGAGGATCCCATTGTAAAATTTTGGCAGGTGAGGCCAAGTATTCTCCTCGCACCTTCCACGACTTAGAAACATCTTCAATCACATATGGAGCTTTTGTATCCCATATGTTGCTCTGTGTCACTGAGCAACTGCTTCTAGGGTGAAGGTAATCTACAAATAGCCATGGTAGATATTAATTGCAAAACTCCAGTTTGTGACTACATATGTACATGTCCTGTAGCTTGAGGGGCAGAGTTTTTCAAATTTGCCTTTATCTTGCTTCCACTTCCCTTGTCCTTAGAGTGACTAGGTGCTGGGCTAGTGGTATAGGCCATGACCAGGCATTCATTTCTACTGGTAGAAATCTTTCCAGGAGAGGGAGCAATACAGATGTTCAGCCTACAGCTGCCCCCTCTCTACTAACCACTGTGCTTTTACCAAACCAGGTGATCCCAGTCTGGGAAAAGCTTGGGGAGCAGTGGCTACTCTACTCCTGCTGGTCCCCAGGGAGGTTGTAGTGGCAGGAAAAGACTCGCCACACCTTCTCCAACCCAGTATCCGGGGAACAGGCAGGGAGTAGCCTCCTCTGCTCCACTCCCAATCTCCAGGAACAGAGAGGAGGACACAGTGAGTCAAAGCCCCCAGCCTGTTCCCCAAGCAGCAGCAGCTGCACCCCTCCCCTACTGGACCAGTCCAGGAGAGAAGACCAGGGGGAACAAACCTCCCGAATTGCTCTCCAGACCCAGGACCCTGATCTAGGGAGTGGAGGAGGGAGCACCCATCTCCAAGGAGGGACAGGAGAAGTAGGGCAATGTCCCCCATGCCCTCTCCAAACTGGGTGACCCTACTCTGGGGAAGTCATGGAAGTCTTCTCCACCCTAATTTCTCTCAGTACTAGGGTGATCCCAGTCCTAGGAAGGGTGCAGGGAGCATTTCCTGCCACTCAGCAGCTCCTGGTCTATGGGAGGACGCTAGTGGTAAGAAAGTGTACAGGTGTTCTTTCCTGTGGGAGAAACTTGATGAAGCATGTGTGTTTGTGGTTTCTATGCAGTGATTCTCCGTGTAGAAACCTAATGCATATACATGGTCATAGTTCTGCTACTGACCCACAGCTCATCTCTGCTCACCAGAGAATTTCTGCAGCTAGAAATCCCGTTTCCCTTTGTCACTTCTATGCTAGAAACCTGGAGAGAGCTCATATCAGAGTCGCTCAGGCAGACTTACACAACCAAAACCAATGCAGGGGCAAGGATTGGTGCTCTGCTACCCAATTCAGGGAAAGGGTAAAGGCATTCAACATCTCCTGGCTTCAGTAGGTGGGTGTGCCTGCCTGTCTGGTCCAAGACTAGCTGCCCATCTTGGTTGAGTAGGCATACACTACCATATAAAAGACACACGAAGCAGTCATTGAGGCCGCATACACACAAGCGTGGATGTTTGTTTCCCCAAGGACAAGAAGCAGCAGCACACCTTGTGCCACTGCTACTTGTCCCTGGGGAACGCCTGTGCTATACACCCTCTGGTGCATGGCAGGTTACTCTGGGTGGGGTAGGGGATGCTGGGGCCTGCACTGGGCTGACCCCAGCAGCCTTACCTGGGGTCCTGGGGCCTCCTGAGGCTGCAACAGCAGTGATCCTGCTGCTCAGAGCCTGGCTGGCAACCAGAGCATGGCTCTGGCCATCCAGACTCCAGTTTTGGGCAGCATGCACTGCCCCCGTGTGCGCTGCTCCACTTTTTTGAGGGGCAGGGGTTTTTTTACCCCTGGATCTCCCGGCCTGAGAAGTTATTGATATGACGCTATAATAGACCATGAAAGAACAGGCTTGGTGCTTCTGAATTGCCCAGTCCACAACACCAGAAATGTTTCTGAAAGGAGTGGGAAAGAGGGAAATCAGACCATTTTTTGAACACATGGGTGTAGTTTGTTCCCAACATCCCAAGTACAGACAGAGGGTGCAAGTGGAAGAGGAACAGGAAAAACCCTGGTC